TATCGATCAGTGACGCTACAGCGTCATGGAACGACACAAATGATTCCCCAGGGTTTTGCTTTCTAGCTCTTACCAGTTCTTTGCTCATAAAATCGGACCGATAATCTTTGTACTGATGGCGAAGTGCAGTACAAAATTCAGTCCAGACTATGTGGTCTACCTGCTTGTGGTACCGCCAGTACCAGTCACGGGCTTTGCCTAAAAATAGCACATGTAAGTGCTTACAGAGACCCATAAAGTCGCTGTCCAAAGTTTCATCAGTCAATGTTTTGACTCTATACAGAAATTCTTCTACCCCTAATCCTTCGGTAGACCCATCAAAATGAAGATTCCATTTTTGCATGGTGTCAGCAATTTTCCCATTTCGGAATGACGAACTACTAGGCGACACCTGGATCGGGGTTGGCAACACTCTTGGAAAGGGTGGTGCTTGTATTTGCAGTGATGACATAACGCGAGTAATTGATTGTTCGATCATCTCCTGAATTATCCTATAGTCCACTCCCAGATTTTGGCGGGTATAATTGGACTGAGTGGGTCTTCCTCTTCTTCTTACACCAGGAGCTGGTCGTGCAGGAGCGATTTCAGGTGGATTCGTGCTATTGCTAGCGTCGAGTCCTGATTGTGGTACATCACTAACATCTAATAACCTTGCTGTTGGATTCTCGCCACTCTGGGTCGGACCAGGATTAAGAGATTTTGCTAGACTGCGCGTTACCGTTCTCCCTATGTTAGTAGGTGGAGGTGGGGCAGATTGTTTTCCTCTCGGCGAGCAATCTCCAACAACTAATTTAATTGAGGCTGGATCAATCACAGCACTACAACTGGGACATTTAGCATGGTTTACCAACCAACCTTCCAAGCAAAGTTTGTGGAAAACATGCCTACAAGGGGTGCAATAGCAAGACTGTGTATTGTCCATTACTAACTGGCATAGAACACAGTGGTTATCAGCGGTCTCTGACGACGGCTGTACATTTTGTGGGCTGCGTAAAGGCAACATGCTTCATTCATATTTTCCTGATTCGTGACATTGGTTTGGTAATATAATAAAGTAGAAGTTATTTGTTTTTTTTTTTTTTTTTTTTTTTTTTTTTTAATTACGAAATATAATCGCCTCAATGAAAGTAGGTAATTTATCTGGTTTATTGAAACTACTATAGAAAGCGGTTTGTAATATTCAACATTTTAATCTAATCAGAAATGTTCGGCAAGGATATGCAAAGCAGCATATGGCCAAGTTCCGGGCAACATTCTAACTATCTTTGATAGTATCGTTAATACAAAACCATTCAATCTAACTTTATAACTTTTGGCTCCACGAAGACTGAGATTTACTTAACCATCAACAAGCTATCAAGTAGCAATCAGTACTGATATCTTAGCAAAATATGCAGTATTCTAAAATTGCATTTGAAAGTATTTCTACCTAAGCAAACCTAATCTGTTGTTTCTCCAAAATTATAAGAAAGAAAACGAGCAAATGTATGGGACCGATTGTATAGCTGGTGTTAATAACTATAGTCGTGTTTATATATAGGCACTCAACAATATAGTAAGGTCAGATTCTCGGCATAATTCAAGCTCTGAATTGTAAGCATCGTAGTCCTAATTACTATCTTGTATACTACCAGTATCTGCGCATGCGGAAGATAGACTAAACCAGTCACATCGACGTCAGCGTGCGTGGACAATAATATAAAGACTCATTTTTTTTTTTTTTTTTTTATTTTTTTTTTTTTTTATAGACAACCTCGGGCCCCATGATTGGGCGCCAAAAATTTATGTAGCATGTACTGTGGTGAAGCTACTCTAGCAATACATATCGGGTAGCAACGGTGACGGCGGTTGGCAGCCAATCTTCACAAAATAATTCGGGAAGTAGTCACCGAGGCCCCTCGTGGTTGAGTTAGCATGGCAGGGCGGGATCCTCTTGTTCCCTAGCTCTTTCGGGTGGGGGGGTTCTTTTTGCCATGTCTCGACCTGCATACACAATTTTATTTTAGGATCCCTACAGAATCTAAATTGGAGACCGATACTCCGCAGAAACAAAATCTCAAACAGGCATAACTTAACGAGCACTTAAAGTGCCAATACAATGGTGATAGCTTTCATTAGGGCATATATATTCCGAAGAGGCGAAGTCTTGGATGTAAGCTGACTCTCGCGTTCGATACCCTCCCAACCATGATCTTCAGCGTTTAAGGTTTTGAAGATCCCAAAAAAAACATTCTTCTACTACATTATATCACCATGTCACCAGGAAAGAAAACTTAGCAATTCATAATCAAAATCCGTAATTAATATTTATTATAAACAAAAGCATTATTCAATGAAACTGAATCCTTCCGTTAGATAATCTGCATCTTATTACAAGTGGCATTAATGATTCAACAATAATTCAGTAACTAAAACTAGTCCGTTAATATTTTTACAATGTCTCAAAGATTCTTCAAAAATAATTCATTTTATAAACTATTCAGTTAATATTTTTTTTTCTTATTGATCAAAAAGAAACTCTCCAAATTTCGCTAAAGTGCATTTTAATAATTATAGAATATAGCTAGGTAAGAAAAAAATGACATTCGTAAATTGAACTAAAGTGTATTCGGCAAAAGCAAAAAAAAAAGTTATTATAATAGAGTCAATACAATTGTAGTTGATGGTTAATTGTATGGTCGAAAAAAATATGGGCAACAGAAGGTTAAGCTCAAAGCGCATGGGCAAATCGGAGCGCAGCGCAACCAGCTGATCGGTGAATACGATGATACATCTTTGTGTACATATATTTGATTCTGTTAAAAATCTTTTCTTTTAGGTTGCTTCTGTTTCAGCTAGTAATTGAGCGGGGTGTAGGTAGAATCAAAGATGATAAGCATTCACCAGACTGACACGGTCATAAACATATTGATCGGAGCTAAAGCGTAATGTGAAACAGAAAGTAAAAAAAAACTCAGCAGGTGCGCATGTCAGTTTGGCTGTGCTTATCTGTGCCAAAATAAGAAAATATACTCAAAACAAAAGGTTAAAAACTTACATGTATTCCTCGATGAAAGGCCTTCCAGCGGAGAGTTTGCAGCAAATTTTATTTATTTTTTTTTTCATTTGTTTTCTTTTGTCTTCTGTGGGGCTTTAAATTGTTTTGATTATATTATTATGGCACAGGAGGGTTTTTAAATTGTGAGTACTAAGAAGATACTCTCCGAAAATAAGTGGGAAAAAAAAATATAAAAAAAATTCTGAAATGACTTTGGACTCTACAAGAAGGGGGATAGATTTATACTAGTATTCCTTTCTATATATATAAAGCTATGTATATAGATGTCAATTTTTCTTTTTCACTGCACTTGCACGCGGTTTTTTGAGGGCCTAATAAATGCACTTTTCACAAACTTTTGGAAGTCTCTCACAAGATTTAGTTAACAATTTTTTTACTAAAAACATTTAACAGCAATTTTCATGCATCTGCACGCTCCGGCCAACTTAATTGGCGATGTCATCTGGGCTTCTGATCAGCGGCGCGTCAATGGGGCCCAGAAGGCTACTGCCTCTTCCGGATTCCAAACTGTGGAAACGGCGCCTGCCCTTGCTGGCATGAGCAAGGGTATGGCAGCTGATCCGCCGTTGAGGCTGACGTCTATTTAATGGGGGCAGAAATGTCATTGCCGTCCCAAGAAATTACAGTGCCGTCCAATTGGCACACGTGGCGGCTGCCTCAAAATAAGTGGGTTTTTCTGTCAGAGACGGCGGCGGCAAGATTTATTCCTCCAAAAATTACTTTCGGCAGGCAAGCAAGAACTGGTTAAAACTGTGACCAGATCTTGGCACAAAGAAATATATGCCGGTGAGGTGCTGGTGGCCGGGTGGCGGAGCGAAAGGTTATCATCAAATGAACAAAAAAATTTATTTCGCCAATCGGTTACTTTTAGGGTTTTTCTTTTTATTTTTTTTTGTTGTTTTTGGTTCAATTTAGTTGGAATTTAAATTAAACGAATTAAACGACTGATGCCCGAACTTGTTGCTTTTAGATTAATATTTTGGTGGGGCTATGTCCGCACCGCCGTAGCCAGACCTTCGATGGTAAAGTAACTTTTGAAAAAAAAAAGGGTTATATCCGGGACCTGCAGGCTTATATAGGGTCTCAGAGCTTTTTTCTTTCCCGGATTAGAGGGAAGATAGCTGCGCTGCCAACGTGCACGCAGGCGGTTTATAGCAGCGGCTGACTCATTCGCAGCTGACCATGACAGACAAAAGCTGATCGCTATAGCGTCGTTACACAAACGCAAGCTGTTAGGATCGCTTACGCGGTTTAATTTAAATAGGAAAACTGCGACCATTACAGTGTGTGTTTATTGTTGCACGTCGTCGCTGATTGCACAACATTTATAGTACATATGTATCGTATGTCTAAAACGCCTAAAACATCGAGAGCTAAACGCAAGCTCAGCTAGTAGCAGGGGACTATTTGGTGTCGTGGGCACATAAGAATTACAGCTCTTGGAAAGTTTTTGGCGGCTTTTGCAACACTAATATGTATGTATTTGACTTCACTAGACAGCACTGTGTACGCAAGAAAAATGCTTTAAACATTTGACAACACTTTTGTGGTTATTATGGAAGTTGCGTAACACTGTTATGGCTAGTTAACCAACATTGACTGAAATTGTTTAACGGCTTTTGAGAACTTTTATTTGTATTAATTTTTGTTTGTAAATTTTACACGCTCCACTTTTTCGACCTGCTAAATTCTTGAAAGACGCTTTTGTTTATATCCACATTTTTAAGAATACGATAATGTAGAACTGTACCTACGGGATTTTTTTTGCGGCGACTTTAATAAGCTGTCTGTTTCTGTTTGTAATTCGCTTTTCTTGTTTCTTTTATATATTTAGTTGTTTTTTTTTTTTTCAAGCACACTAAGTGCGCCATAATTTTTTGTTTTTTTTTTTTTTACATTTTACTTTTTTAAATTTAAAAATTAATAAAGCGTTTCATACTTTCACAATGTGTTGTTGTTGTTGCTGCTGTTGTTGGTGTGTTGCCAGCTGATAATAAAAACAAATTCTTTAGCCCATTTACCGAAGTTCTTGTTTCGTCTTTGCCTTTGCATGATTTTCTAGACGCAATTGGTAATCTTTAGATTTTTGTTTTTCTTTTCCTTTTTCTGTCAAACTAAACTATGTACTTTACAACTAAATATCTGTAGTCTCGTGGTTATACTATACGCTATATGTTATGAATGATTATTTATGTGTATGCCATAAATTTTAGTTACCTATTACATTGTTGTTGTTCTTCATGTTGTTGTTTTTCTTGTTCTAGGTTACACTCTCTTTCTGACTCCCAGTTATTTCAGCTGCTGTAATAACATTAGTTGAATTATTTTTTTTTTTTTTAATTATGAACATTCTAGTTGTTGTTTCAGTTGAGGTTCTGGTTCTGGTTTCCAAATAACGTTCACCAGTTTTGGGAGAGTAAAAGTTCCATTTTCGGTTCACGCTGCTGACATATTTCGTGTATGCACTGCAAAAGAATATAAAATAATTAATTAGCTTAATACGTTTTCTAATAACAGACTTAAAGACTAAAACATAACTTAATTTAACCTTATATGCATAAATCGTTTACTAATTTTCTGCTTCTTATTATGTATAAGCATTTATTTTTCTACCAAACAACATTTTGGACAGCCTTGACTGCGGCCAAGCTTGTCCGCCAGACACTTCCTATTTCAGTTTTTTAACCTCAGTCTTCGACTAGATAAAAAAAAAGCCGTAACTCAGACAAGCTCTCAATAACCATAAAAAGCTAAAGTCTGACTCAGATTTTGATGGGTCTTTGATGAGCTTAGATGATTTGTGGACGCGCAACAGACCGACCGGCTATAATTTCCAAGACGTCATGTAAAAGGTCAGGGTCATAGTATTTAGTTGAATAGGCTCCATATAAAAAAATGGCAAAAAGATATGTTTAATAAGTAACTTACGTTAAAATCTCTGATAACTTCAATAAATTGCTTATCAAAAGTTGTTTAATGACCAATTTCCAAAAATGTATTCTTTAAAGAATAAATAAATAGGGTTTTTTTAGCAGAGTGGGTCCTATAGAAGCTCTCTTTCTGTTGCACCTGCTCTTATAGCTGCAAAAGGCCTTGCATTTTGAATGCATTAAGTTAATATTTGCATAATTATTTCTACCCGTTACTTTGTTTTAATTAAATATTCTTTCCTTGGGTTCTTTAATATACCATTGACTTGAATGGAGGTAATTTTAAATTATACAACAAACAGTTAGTTATTCTTGAACTCCACTCAAACCAACTAATAAATACAACTCACACTAAAATAACATTGATAAAGCACTTAAAGGCCTCTTCAGATTAAACACTAAATATAACTGGTTACGAGCGCATTTTACAATGTTAAATTCAATGGGTGATTAATTCGCAATTAACCGAACAGAGCAAAAACAATAATTAGTCTCTGAGAATTGTATTTCATTTATTTATATCACATATTTAGTGCAATGTTACTAATCATGCTCTACGAACTGCAACCGAATCATTAATTAATGTTCAACCCCCAATAATTGCAAACAAATTAGACATCTAAACGAGTATATAGGAAAATATACTCATACATGCTAACACCCCCAAATGCTTTCCCATTTCCCAAGGCACACAATATGAATATGTTTTGTTTCTTATCAGACTTACACACACACCCACACACACCCACACACACACCGTACAGTCTGCTGCCGGTGGGAGCCTATGACGTAAGCAGCTGGCAGCAGGAGCGACGGCGACGGCAACAGCGTGCTATATTAAATCTTTTTTGCACAAAATCATATAACTGAAAAGCAACAACAGAGAGAGAGAAGACCGAAAACGAAACAAAAACAAGATAAAACGTACAATCGGGCGTGCCCGACTAGGAGATGCGCTGCAAGCAGCGTGGCTATGTCAACCTCTCGTACTGAAAAACAAATATGGCTGATCAGGAATATATACATACAGATGTATGTAGAATATATATTTAGATGCATTTTCCCGTCTGTTGCATATATTTTCAATAAGTCATTATACCCTTCTTTTAGCCAATTTTAATGGGTACTGGGTATAAAAAGAGGAAGCAAATGTTTTGTATATTCAGGCGGCCTTTTATCGCTGAAACAAAAGCCGTCAGTGACCGAACCGGCGACGGGCAGTTGCCTGCACCCACGCTACAACAACAACTACTACAACAACAACAACTACAATAACAACATGCTATATAACACACCAAACAGTGAAGAGCAGAGATATATAATACCACACATAAGTATGCATAGGAAGTATGTGTGACGAATGCAGCGACAGATCTGTTAACTCTTCTAGTTTGTTGTACTTGTTAGTCGGATATATTATTACATAAACTCCATTAGCCATTGTCGGGGACATTACGTGCGTCAGAAAACAATAAACTACTCTATGCACAGGGCATGGACAATAGTTTCCAAGCAAAACTTTCACTTGTTAAGTGATTTTCTGGCCTTGAAATAACACAATGCCTCAAATATTGGTAATAGCACAGGAATGTGCAAGAAATGAAAGGTAATTCAAAGAGCCAAATATAGCTGAATGGGAAATGAGTAAGTATTTTGGACATGTGTTTCCTACCAATTGAGATAATTTATGTAACCCACGAATCTTTTGGCGACCTTGTCTAACCAATCAAAATATAACCTTATCTGATCCGATCGGCTTCATTAATTTATGAGATTTTTAAATTTCTTTTTCCAGTACAAATTCTCGTTTTTCTTTTTTTATCGTAGCGTATAGACATATTTTTAACAATTAACTCAGTTTGTTTTTTTTCAATTTTATTTATTTTTACGAAAATTAAATAAAAACTGCCCAGATGATTTTCTTTATTTTCTATTTATCTTATGTTCTCGCTCTCTCTCTCTCGCTCTCTCTTTCTCTCTCCTCCTCTCTCTCGCTCTCTCTCTCTCTCTCTCTCTCTCTCTCTCTCTCTCTTTCTCTCTCTTCCTCTCTCTCGCTGTCTCTTCCTCTCTTGCTGATTTTATAGTCAATATTTATTATATTATCACTCACATATCATGTCACACTACTCTGATTCTCAAGGTAATTGCAAGCTAACATTTATAGTTGTACCTGATTATAATATACGTGTCTTCAGATATGTTTGGCAAATTCGGAAAGTATGTAATTTTGATGACTGATCGCTTTAAAATAAATATGATTGCGCTACAAGTTCCAGTCGCACTTGGGCACTTTCCCATCTCTATCTTAACTCAACCGCGACATAGCCCTATCACAATTTAATGTGTGTTAGTCCAATTTGCGACGTGCTTGTTTGACATGACTTTTGTGGCTTAACAAAAGTTGTCAACTAACAGACTAACTAGACGCCAGCGACTAACTAACTTACCCACACATTTGCATGTATTTATGTGTATACAAAGTTGTTGAGTCGCCAGCGATGTGCAAAGAGTTAAAAGTCTAAAAAAAAAAAAAAAGAACTTCCATTTACCAAGTTTTGTGCTAGCTTCCGTCCGTGTTTTGTGTTTTTTTTCGCGCAGTTTTTGCCTTTTGTGCATTTTAAATAGGGCCAGATGACTGCACAGCATTCCACGACCCCTCACCCCCTACACTACTCACTTTTTACCTGGCTCGCAGTTCCTGCATATTTCATGAAGCACAGAGACACATACAGAAAATGCATTTTTAAAATGCGTAATTACCACCTGGGGAAAATCAACAACTGGACTGACCTAACGGCACTATTGAAACTAAGTACGTGCACACGTACATACATGTGCATATGTATACTTATAAAGATAACATCTAATTTACATAGGGCAGGGTTGGATATGGGGGAAGGGTGCGGGCGCTTTGTTTACGATACGAAAGTACATAAATAAGCTGATCATATATTACGCGCAGTTTAATATAAAATTGCTCAACAAAAAAACTGAGCAAAACCCTTTTGTACCCTAACTTTAGTTTGAAGTCAAGTTGAAATATTAATGCAGATAAAACACTTTTCCGAGTAAAAAGAGCACAAACAATTATTAAAAGGATTTTATTTTGATTAAAATCAAACATTAATTGTTCTTGGTTAGAACCAGCTCTTTTTCATTAGGTATCATATGGATTATGACACATGAGGGCTAATTTATTGTTGGCTTTCAATTATTTATATTTAAAAAATTGTTAGGCTAGGATCTAAGAAAAAATAAATTGAAGCTCTGGTTGAAAATCGGCTTGACTTAAAGCCGAGATGCATATTCGATGAAAATGTTTTCTGATCTATATCGAAAGCAAACGTCTATATTAGTGCAGAATATCAAAATATGATAGTTAATTGCGTTTTTCGAGCATTGACATCAGACTACACTCAATTAAGAATACCCTTACTTTCTTTGGTTACTCAATGTTTGCAGTCTGGGTACACCCAGCTTTATTATTGTTTATGGTTATTTTAGTCAAATACAAATAGGAATAAGTTGAGCTGGCCATAGGAGACGGGCGGACGAATGGAAACACTGCCAAAGCGTCGGGCAGTCAGAGAGTTTGAGAGCCCAGACACAGACAGATAGACAGACAGACAGACAGACAGAGAGACAGACAGACAGACAGACAGACAGAGAGACAGACAGACAGAAAGAGAGACAGACAGATATGAGTATGTATGTGGCCGCAAATCGAAAATAGTTTGTGAATCGCCAGCCACAACTGGGCGACAAACAAATTTGTTCATTTCATTTTCATAATATTTGCAGTCTATATCTTGGGTAAATATATATCTAGAGTGTTGTTGCTGCTCGTTTAAGATATTTCGAGCTTGTCCACTCGCCAACCGGGCGTGTTGATTTATTAAAATGCTTTGCGGTGCGAGGGGCCTTGTGTTGTGGCGCTCCAAGATGTGTATGTGCCTTTATAAATTTCTAGTGTATTTGTGTGCATAATTCTTGCTTATATAATTTAATTTATATTCATGCGATGGGCGCATATATTTCATATATATATATATATATTTATTTATTTATTGTACAAGCATATGTATTTCTCTACGAGTCGTGCACAAAATCGGCAACATATTTGTCATTGCGTGTAGGTCAAATATGTTGCAAAGACTCGGTTGGGGAATGTGAAGATTTTAGTTGAGTGCGCTTCATAAAGTTATTTGTTTGCAAAACTTTTGTGTTTAGATTGTGCAGAAAAGACGTCTGGCCATTTGGACTTATCAAGTCTGTAGATTTCAGATAAAACTTTAAACTCAAGGCCTTTAAATTATCTGAACTGCGATGCTACCAAAGCATTTCTTTGCTAAATTTAGAAGCAATACAGAATGTCGAACGAAATTTAGTTTCACTAACAATGCATTAGCAGAAGACATAGAAATCATTAATTATCAATTAATCTATTATAGTATTTTAATCAGATATTTCAACCCTATAAATAATATATAAATATAAATTGAAAACGCAGGAGCCTCGACTTGCATATAACTTCC